TAGTTTTTGATTCCACTGCCTAGAAGCTTGTTTCAAACCATATAGAGATCTCTTCAATTTGCAAACTAAGTTCTCCCCCTTACTCTCAAAACCTTGAGGAATTCTCATGTAGACCTCCTCATTCAATTCTCCTTGAAAAAATGCATTATGAACATCCATTTGATAAAGATTCCATTTATACATGGCAGCCATTTTAAGGACAAGACGGACTGTTAACATTTTTACAACTGGTGAAAAGGTCTCATGATAGTCTATTCCTTCTCTTTGACTATAACCTTTTGCTACTAACCTAGCTTTATATTTATCTATGCTCCCATCACAATTGTATTTAATCTTATATACCCACTTACACCCTATGGGTCTTTTCCCTCTAGGCAGTTGAACAATATCCCATGTTTTATTATTTTCTAAAGCCTTCATTTCACATTTCATTGCATCAACCCAGTTTTTATTCAAGGCAGCATATTCATAACAAGTAGGTTCAGTTTCAGAATCTATGGAAGTAAGAAAACACATGTAATATGAAGAAATGTTATCATAACAGACATAGTTCTGAATGGGATACTTACATTTATCTTGACCCTTTACCTTTGCTTGATGAGTAGTAGTAGACAGGATGTAATCCTTTGACCAAACAGGTGGTCGTCTCTCCCTGCTAGATTTGGGATGAGCTACAAGTGTCAACTGATGATTATCATCCAGGTTATCAAGATAATTAGGAATAGTCACTGGTTCTCCAGTCTCATGGTGGTGCTCATTATCAACAGTGATTTGCTCTTGATTAACTTTTGTTATTGTCTCTTTAGTCTCATACCAGAACATGTTTCTTAAGTCCTGACTCACTCCCCCTTGCTTAGTGCGTATAGCATCCTTAAAAGGAAATTTATCTTCTACAAATTTAACATGATGACTGACTATGAAATTTTTATTTTCCAAGTTGAGGAGAAAAAATCCTTTTTGATTTTCAGGATATCCCAAAAAAACGCAGGGAGTGGCCCTTGATTTCAATTTATCAGTTATGTTCAAATTAGTAGCATAAGCAAGACAACCAAATACCCTTAAGTGGCGTAGATCTGGCTTTCTACCATAAACCTTTTCATATGGGGTTTTATAGCCTATAATCTTAGATGGGATTCTATTGATCAAGTGAACAGCCATTTTTATATATTCCCCCCAATATTGTGTAGGGATACCTGACTCTAACATGAGGCTTCTAGTTAATTGTATGATGGTCCTATGTTTTCTTTCTACCACCCCATTCTGTTCAGGTGTATAAGGACAAGATGTCTCATGCAATATCCCATTCTGTTGTAAATAAGCCTTTAATTCATGATTTTTAAACTCTGTACCATTGTCACTTCTTATCCGTTTCACATGTTTGCCAAATTGATTTAAAACATAAGCAATGAAGAACTTAATGTGCATAACAGATTCTGACTTGTTCCTCATTAAAAAAATCCAAGTGGCTCTAGAAAAATCATCTACCACAGTAAGGAAATATTGATAACCATGATGGGTTGGTGACCTGTAAGGCCCCCAAACACCCATATGTAACATTTCAAAACAGTTTTCCGTCTTTATACAACTAGTGGTAAAAGGGAATTTTGTTAGCTTTGACTGAATACAAACGTCACAATTTTTATTGATTGAAGCATCAGAACTTATCACAAAATCAAGGTAATGCATTACAGATAAAGGGGCATGTCCCAGTCTTTTATGCCAAAGGGAAATTTCAGAATGGTTCCTAACACCATAACTATTTTCAACAGTATTAACAATATGCTGATTCCTTGGTACTTTCAAAACATATAAACCAGCATATTCTCTACCAATCAGCTTCATCTTCCCATTCCAGAGGCCCTGCAGTAAACATAGGTCAGGGAAGAAAGAAGCAATGCACTTGTGTTCCTTTGTGATCCGTGAAATAGATATTAAATTGAATTTAAGTTTAGGAGCATATAAAACATCTGTCAAGGTTATCTCATTTGTAATCTTAGCTTTCCCTATATGTGTAACAGGCACATGATTACCATCAGGTATCTTTATGGTTTTAATCGGTCCACAATAGGACTCATTACTCTCTAAAAGATTTAAACTGCCCACCATGTGAGTAGTGGCCCCGGAATCAAAAATCCAAGTTGAATAAGATATATCATAAGACGAGGGAACAACCAAACCTGTACCAGTGAGGGCGTGGACATTGTTTCCTGAATCCTTTTGTAGCAATTCTAGGATCTTCTGGTATTGTTCTGCCGTAAAAATCGGTGCCACGCTAGTTGCCTCATTGATATGTGCTTCTTGAATAGAACCCGAGTCAGAATTTCCTCGGTTCACATCTTTGTTCGCCTTGCCTTTATTTCCCTTAAAATTCGCCGGATAGCCAATAAGTTGATAGCAATTGTCCTTAATATGGCCTTTCTTGTGGCAATGGGAGCATTCGGGGAAATTTCATTTCATCGCGTCCTCTTCCCCTGCCGCGTCCGCGTCCTCTTGCCATCATTGCAATCCCTTCTGCAGGTAAGTTCCTATCTCCATCTGTAATTGCTCGTTGAGTCTCATCTTGAATGATCATGGAGTAGGCTTCGTTTACCGACAGCAGCGGATTCAAGAGGAGTAGTTGACTCCGGGCATGATTGTAGGCATCGTTTAAACCCAGCAAAAACTGGAGCAGTTTTTGCTCCTGGATGACTTCTGCATAGGTCTTTGAAGTCACACAGGTGCAAGAAGGTAGACTGACCAGAGCCGATTGCTCCTCCCAAAGCTCCTTTAATCTCGAATAATATGCGGAGACTGATAAGGAACCCTGTTTGAAGGAGGTGATCTCACGGTGCAGAGCAAATATTCGGGCGCCGTTCTTTTTATCAAACCGTTCCTTCAGATCAATCCACACTTGGTGTGCGCTTTGAAAGAAAATAACTCCATTTGCTAGCTCCTTCGAGATTGAGCTCAGTATCCATGAAAGAATGACTGCATTGCAGCGTTCCCATTGTTCGTGCAGTGATGATTCTTGATCGCTCTTTCTACAGGTTCCGTCGACGAACCCTAGTTTATTCTTCCCCATCAACGCGATCTTCATCGCCCTGCTCCACACAGTATAATTTTCTGTGCCTATCAGGACGTGCTGAACGATCGAAGCCCCCTGCGTATCGGATGGGTGCAAGAAAAGTGGATGAGAAAATGGCAGATTATCAGTGGCAGTCTTCGTTTCTGCCATTAGGGTTTCTCTACTGTGAAGATGTCGAAATGGGTTTTGGGCTTAGGATTCGGATGAAGGAAAACCTTCGGCTCTAGATACCATGTTGAAACATTAGGCCCTACCAGAAACCCACACACTACGCATAGAAACGAGCTATTTCCATTAATCTCATCAGCTGATATTTACATCAAAAGTGGGCTTAATAGAATAAGCCAACATTGGACCCCTTTTATAGAGCCCCAACAGAAATAACAAACAGTACAAGAAAGTCAAGAAGAACTTGAAATGAAATCAGATCTAAAGCAATTTGGGCCTAAACTAATTAACCCAAAAATACAAAAATGACCCTCCTATTTCTCACAATTATACATAGCACAACAATAATATCATATACTACCTCTGGTCCTAATTATAAGATTTGATTGACTAATTTAATGAGATTAAGAAAATAAATTAGTTAGTTATTTGTAATAAATAAGTGTTGTCTTTCCTAAAATATCCTTACTAATCAAGTATATTGACTAGAACTATTATTAGTAAAAGGATTACCTTGGAACAAAATGCATAAATATGAGAGATAGAGTGAATTGGAGTCTTATATTTAGAATTAAAATAAAAATCAAATGAGATCTTATATTAAGAACTGGAGGTAGCATATATTAATCTATCATGCCTGGGAGGGTGCTTATTGCATGAATGCTCCATAAGCAGCAATCTTATTCAATTCGGTGTGCATGTCAATGCCGGAAAACCTTTTCAGCTCCAACCGCTATATACCATGTTCATATATGTACATAACGTAGACCCAGAGAGAACAGGCCTGTACCTGTCTTTATGTCGATCACTACCACCTTCCACATGTATTGAAGGGTCAGCGGGGAAATTCAGCTCTTGCATGATCATCAAATAGCCGGCTCAAATTTGGTTTTGGTTTAATCATGTCATTTAAAAACAAACAACTTGTTTGTGTCTCTTGTGACATATGATTATCCCCCACTAAGTCCATTAAACGGCATGCAAATCCCGCGTACCAAAAGTTTTAGATGTCTTTTTAATTTGTCTATAAATAATACAAAACTTGTGAAACTGCATTATTCATAAATCATCAAGGCATAGAGTTCCTTTAGTTTCACGCAAAGTATACAAGACACAAGACCTATACTCAATTTTCTTTCTACTACAAACGTCTAATACCTACAAATCAAGTTTAAGCATTATCGTCCCGAAAGTGCTAAGGGTTATTTCTACCGGTAAGTACTAAAAAAAGAATTATTGGTATTCAAATATATTTTCTAGATCAATATAATTCTTGAAATATTCAAAAGCATTAAAAATATTACCGGTCTATGTTGATTTTTTAGTAGTTAAAATTAATTTTCTAATAAAAAGGGCACTATTTTCTTTTTATAATGCTTTCTATGCGTCATTGAACCAAAAAAATCTAAAGGAGTGAAATAAATTTTGTTAAATATATCAACTATATTTTGTTTTAGAAGGTAGAAATAATTATTTGTGGTGAAATAAAAAGACCCAATTAAAGGTTTTTTTTTTTTAACTTTGAAGTTAAAAGTGGTATGAAATTTTTTTGTAGACATACGTATCTTCTTAGTAGAGATAGTTCTATCTGAAACACTATCGTACATTAAAGGTATATACTTTTTCTAACAAGAATTCAAATTTTGATTCACCATGTTACCGAGAGGCTAACATATTCTGCTCAACCTTACTCCCATTTTTAAGTGTTAAGAAATTAAAATAACTGGGAGAATGGTCATTTTTCCAATCTCCCGCAATTGGATGCCTGTTAAAATTGTGACAAGCCGGCGAGCAATAGTCCATAAATCTCGGACGCCTCACGGGAGAAGGCCAGGAAAGACACTGTTCCAAAGTCTTTTTCAATTCTAAACCCTGGACTCTACAAAGTAATGAATTCATCTGCACGCTGGCCCGCTCGCTTAACAAGAAAAAATGAATGCAAATCAGACACGGACAATTGAATTAAGCAAACGCTGTCTCAACTTATATGCTCAAATGCTCTTCCCGAGGCAGGCTTTGCACGGTATCTGACCATCTGCCCGGAGAATGATCGCTGCTGTTTGAAGACACCTGAGCCTCGGCCCTTGCATCTCTTATCATCTTTAAAACTTCCCTCATTGTTGGTCTGTTTTCTGGTACCAGTGAAACACACGCCATTGCAATGTTAAGAAGAGCCTGAAGCTTCTCTTCTGAGGCGTCATTCCCTGAGGCGGGGTCATCCCCGGACCCGGACTCCGTCTCTTCTTCCCGCACGGACCGAACCCACCTAGGTATATCCGAACCATGTTCCAGAACAAGGTCTTGGAAGGGTGTTTTCCCGGTTAAAAGCTCCAGGAGAAGCACCCCAAAGCTGTACACATCGGCTTGCTGAGTGGGAGGCCTTCCGATGCTACGGCACTCCGGTGCTCTGTAGAATAAAGTGGTGGCGCTGGGCTCTTCAAGTGAATCTGGATTAAGCAACACTTGGAGACCATAATCTGTAAGACATGACTCGAAGTCCGAACCCAGCAACACATTAGAAGATTTCAGGTTCCCATGGGTTAAGCCAGGGTTTTGGTGGATGTACCCAAGTCCAGTTGCTAGGTCTTCGGCAATTTTGAGGCACGATGTCCAGTGAAGAGGCTTTCCCCCACCACAAGTTTTTGACCCTGAATTATCGTACTCATTCGTTACAACATAGTTGAAAATGCTTGCTTCCTAGGCTCGCATTAACCTTGGTTTTAGTTATATATGTTTGTAAAAGTTGTACTGCATTTAAGCATTCCATCCTAATGCCGCGCATGCTTCCTTGGACCGCTATACGTTAGATTTATAATTCTGTTCCTTTCAAACCCAACTCGGATGCAACTAACTATCAAGGACAACATGCAAATGTCATTTGACAACAAAAAGGGTGCAAGTAATCTGTGTTTTTGTGCCAGAGATGTTAATAAACGTGGTTGATAAACCTATTGCCTTTTAAGTTGATGTACTCTCCAATAACACGAGGTCAAAACCTTCACAACCTAATAGTAATTTGAAACTCTGCAGGTTGAAAGAATGACACTGGGTTCTGCCTCTACTTTCCATGTAAGTAGTGGCCTCGAGTAATTCTTAGCCGTCAATTAGCAGGAAAAACAGTTGCGATCAGTCATTTAATTTCAAACAGACCACTACAAGTTCAGAATGCAAGCCTCTACTGTCCTGAGAAGGGGGGAGGAGAAAAACGATGGATTGGAGGAATATTTATGGCCTCGAAATTTTTTTTTTTTTTTTATATTGACGCATTAAGGTTCGAGCACCTCAGGAAATTTCTAAGGATTTGAAAAAGTTTCAAGTTTAACATCCAATGGATGAATGGTCGATGCCTAAATAGGGAATAGTACTCGAGCAAGCCCACTCCTTTTTTGTTTTTTTGGGAATATGGCGGGGGGAGTGGGACACCACTGACGTGGATCTCTCAGACTCAAAATGGGTTGTCAGAGAGAGAGAGGGAGAGAGAGAGACTACACCTGTGAATAAAGTCTGAAAATCAATGACCATCATAAAGTTTGACAGGGAAAGCACCCCCATTTGTCATTATTATACAACTAAATCTGTTTGAGAGGGATAGATTTGGGGCATGGATATAATCCAAAGATTTTAGGTCACTGTCACTAAGAAATGAATGAATATTGAGAAGAGTAGAAAGTTACTTACCATGGACGAGAGAGAAGAGGCTTCCATTGGGGAAGTAATCATAAACAAGAAGGCGTTCCTCCTTAGCCTGAAAATAAGCCCGAAGTGGGACCAGATTAGGGTGCCTAAGCCTGCCTAGCAGCTCCATGCGTGCTGTGAAATCTTGCAAGCCAGGATGCCTCGCATCCTTCAATCTCTTCACCGTCACTATAAACCCTGACTCCATCACTGCCTTGTATGTACTTCCCATACTACCCCTCCCCAGTGTCTCCGCCGACGCCTTCAGTAAATCCTCCAACCTATAACTATCCCCTGCCCCGCAGAACACCAACTTCCCTAGTCCCTCATCTTCCCATGAAAACCCCCCTTCTTTTCCCCCATTATTACCTCCTCTGCCACTTTCACCTCCCGTTCCTGTTTCCGCCTCTGTTCCTCTCCCCTCTTCTCCTTTCTTCATGCGTCCTGAACCCTTCTCTTCTCTGCGATTCCTACACATCATACATATTACGACCAAGCATATCACGAGCACCGCGAAGCCTCCGATGACCCCTCCTACTATCTTTATCACTTTCTTTCGGTTAGACGACGACGACCGCCGCCGTGGCTCACTCCTCCCTGGCACCAACGGATAGCTGGGGCTTACCGACGGAGGCAATTCGCATGCCTTGTGGATTTGTTCCCCACACAGGCCCGGGTTCCCCGAAAACGACGACTCATTGAAACGGATCAACGCTGGGCTCGCCGGGATCTTGCCGGAAAGTTGGTTGTTGGAGACGTTCAGGTATCGGAGACTGCTTTGGTTGAGACTCGGGATGGGCCCTGTGAACAAGTTGTCTTGCAAGTAAAGCATGTAGAGGCGCCGGAGTTTGAGCAGCGACGACGGGATATCGCCGGAGAGTCGGTTGCCACAGAGAACTATGACTTTGACGCGGTGGAGACCGGAGATGGAGGGAGGGAAGTCGCCGGAGAAGTTGTTGTCGTTGAGAAATATGGATTTAAGATTGACCAGGGAAGAGAGGTCCGGTATTAGACCAGACAGTGAGTTGCTCTTGAAACTGAGTACTCGAATTTGATCCAATCGGCTCAAGATCTTTGGGTCCAAATTACCTGTTAAGTTCAAGTTCTCCAGCACTAGCTTTCGGACTCTTCCCTTGAAGCAATCTCTGACTCCTTCCCAGTCGCAGAGATTTTTGCTTCCTGGTGGCCAGGGAAGGGTATTGTGAACATCAATAGAAGATTTGAGCGCTAAAAGTGCTTGGGCATCGTCATCTCTTGATCGAACAAGTTGGACAGAGAGTACAGAGATAACAATTACAAACAAAAGACGAGACGTTGTCAACGCAAATCCCATCGCTAAAAAAGGCCCAAGAAACCGATAATGCAAAGAGGGAATGGGTGTTTGAAAGCAGAATCGTTAGCAAAACCTTGTACTTGATTTGGCTGCCATGAGTAGACAAAGGGGGAACCCTTCAACGCAAATGCATATTAAGAAAATTGTGAGATCCTTGTTTATTTTCTTCGAACTCAATGGGACTGCGAAACCCAGATCAGATAAGCCTCCAGATCTAGTACGTACTATAGTGAATGGCACGTCCATTGAAGAGCATATTTTTTAGAGACGGGGAGGAGCGAAACAAGAGTTGGTAGGTAAAGAAAGAATTTTGAGCTATTTAGGTGACCAAACAAAGGTACGCTGGAAATGGGGTTGAAGAGAAGCAAGAGGGCTATGGTGAAGTCTGGGAGTGAGGGGGGAAAAATCCACGATCAAGTTGGGTTTTGGGTTTGGTTTTCTCGAAACTCTTGCTGCTTCGGCTTGCAAGACTCACGGACATTATAGCAGGCCTCCCACGTGAATCCATCCCCGTAGTACCCCAAGACGAGAAATAACCATTCTTTTCTTCTCTCCGTGATTTCTATATTCTTCATTTCTTCTTAAACTGCACCACCATTGAAGGAAATTTCACTTGAGCGAGCGAGCAATCAAACAAAGGGCAGCAGATAGAGTGCAAATTCCAGGCCCAGAGAGCCTATCTGATAGAACACCCATCTGGAGGAGTCTTGTAATGTCGCATAGTGATGCAGACTCCGCAATAATTGTTCGAGTATGAGGAGGGCTTCATTTTGAGAGCCCATCAATAAAAACAAAATCTTCAATATGATTTTATTTTTATATTTTTTATAATTTAGGATAAAAAATAACTCTATGATCTTCTTTACAAGACATAAAGAGAACATATTTTTTGACATTATTTATAAGGTATTAAGAGAAATTTTTTGTATTAATATATAATTAATTTATTATTGTGTTAATTTTGTTTAAATGAGATATAATATATGTTTAATAAAGATAAAATTTAAAAATTATTAAATTTTAAATAAAAATTAATAAAATTTAAATTTTTGTTTATCTATATAAAATAAAAATAATTTATAAATAGAACAGAAAAAAAACTAGGGTGTCTGCGTAATCAGAAGGTAAGAGGGAGAAGGGATGTGCGGAGGCAAGGGACAGAAGAAAAGGACATGCCCTTTTTTGCCTGGGTAGGGGCCCTTGGGATGCAGGTGACGGAATTGAAGGCGGAAGTGGAGAAATAAATGAATGGGACTGGATTTCACACACAACACAACGCAAAGTGAGGAGGGGCGAGACCATGAAAATAAATAAATGGGCACTGGATGTGTCCATTGATGGATGGATCTCGTGTTTTCGGACATCACTGACCACTTACTTTTATTTGCCAGCTGTCACCTTTTTTATTACCAGTGCTGGGGAAAACTAACGCACGTCCTTATATTTTTATTTTATTTTGAATTAAATTATTTTTTATATAAAAACTAAATAATTAATTTAAATGAATTAAAAAAAATTTTATGTTAGGTATTTATAACTAATATAAGTTAAAATTTTTAAAATATTTTTATTAATAATATATATCAACTAGTACTACTATTTTTATTTAACTAAGCAACCTCTGCCCGTCACCCCGAGTCCTTTGAGTCAGGCCATCTCTGCTTGGTCGAGACCGTCCATTGTTTTGTTTTTTATTTTTTTATTTTTGCGCCAACGAGACCGTCTTTAATTAAAACTTGTCCACCTTGCTCCTTTGATTCCAAAGCTCAATCAAAACACACCACCAGACTCACCAAGAGATCCTGACCCTCTCCTCCATCCTCCTCCTTTCCTGATTCTTTTGACAAACTCCCACACTGCCGCGGTGTCATTATTGCAGAGTTTGGGCAACTGGGCGGCCCAGATTTGTGAGCCTAGAAATGGCCGCTTGATCTCGCGATGTTGCCGCCACCGTGGTTTAGTTCAGCAACCATGTAGCCTGGAAAATTCCTGATATTTGAAGGCAGTTGAAGTGTGTGAAACCTGATTTCGATTATTCAAATGCTTCAATTTCCAAGGTATTGGAAGTTACTTCAATTTCTCTAGTTCTTGTTCATTTTCTCCTGAATAAGCGGTGTTCTTTTTTAAGCCAATGAAATCTGGTTTGACGGATCAAAAGCAACTAGACCTAAAACCCCCTTGCCACGCACGGGTATGCCAAAACTTCTGCAAAAACAAAAATGAAATGGGATTGTTTTACCTATTTAATTAATGTGGATGATGGCCCAAAAAACACAGTGGGCCGAAGCATACCGTTGAAATTAATGTCGATATTTTTGACCCCGGTCCGTAAAAAGATTGTTTAACCTATTTAATTAACATTCTATTATTAAAGAAAATTAACTCCCTTCATTTTCACGTACTCCATTATTTATTTTACTTCCATCTCTAATTAAAATTTTGAGATAGTTTACATAACCACTCATATGATTGGCGTCAATTTTTAACTATCCTACTTAAATATTAACATTTTAATAGTAACACTGTTAATATTAAAACTTCTCTCCCACAGTCTCCTTCCTCAAAAAAAAAAAAAAAAAGTTAATTACAGATCCTAGGAGTTAAATTCCGAAATTACTATCACCGTGTCCTAGTTATTGGCCCCTTGCATTTTTAAAAAAAAAAAAACTGTTTAACCTATTGAAATTTTAAGATAATTTACATGATTACTCGTTTGGTGGGACTACTTAAATTTTAATATTTTAATAGTAATACTGCGAACATCAAAACTTCTCTCCGCGACACCCCCGGGGGAAAAAATAAAATCCTCAGAGACTAGAAATTCCTACCACCATGTCATAGTTCTTCACCCCTTCAATTCAAAAATAAAATTGTTTGACCTATTTAATCAATATTCCATCTTTAAGAAAAATAAATTTACCTTGTTTGCCAATGGGATATCATTTATTTTACTTTTGTTTCTAATTGAAATGTTAAGATAATCTACGCAAAGTTAAATTTCGAAATTAGCACGATTAAATCATAATTCTGCACCCTTTAGATTAAAAGAAATTATTTAGCTTATTTTATCAATATTTCATTATTAAAGAAAATGAATTTACTTTGTTTTCTTGAGCTTTATCATTTAAAATGGTTTGTATGACCACTTATTGAATTAGCATGGCATTCACCTATAATGTGATTTTTCTAACTATATTTTTTTTCAAGAATGAGTTGCTCATACACAACTATAAAGTACTACATGCTATCGAACAGATATCTTCTTCATTTTTATTTTTTTTTAATATTCAAACTTCATAAAATTAAGTTTGATCATTTTGTTTTAAGAAACATGTGAATAACAAAAGAAATTAAAAGTTACTGCATCAAAAATTTTGAAAATACTTGTCAACACTTAAATGGCTGACAATAAATTTAAATATCCTAATTATCTTAAATTTTTTTTGGCTTAAATAAGCAATATTTAGATAAATGTAAGGAATTAATCTAGTAATCAAGACCCCTGGGGGCAAAAACTCTAGAATATAATAGGAATACAATGTAGTTCACGTTAAAGGAAGAAATCACAATCATCATGCAAATACTTCAACCGCATAACTCCTCATATTGATGAAATCACAATCTATGCTTTTGAGTCATATCATCTTGCAATGCTGTTTCCCCACAATGCAAACATCTGTTTCCACTTTCTACAAAGCAAAATACAACATGTTACATACCTGCACTCATATTTCTCTTCTTCAACCAACAAAATTTTATTTAATCCGATAATCAAGACCCATGATAGCAACATCAGTAGAGCAATGCCGTAGGTGGCCCCAAAACATGAATTTTGAAACATGTGCAGGATAAGATATTTAACTGATGACCCCTTATGCCTCTTTTGTAGGGATAAAATTTCAAAGGAGCTTTCACACGAAGAGTTGCACCTTCTCATAATAAATTTATTAAGAAGCTACATTTTGGAAAGCTGACAAAGTTAAATGCCTTCACACATTAATAATCATCCTATTTTCTCTTCCACTACCTTAATAATAATAAAAGTGGCTACCAGGGATGTTGAACTATGCCTGAAGGATACTAAAGATGATATGACCAAGGGGGCAAGTATAAAATCATGCCTGATAAGTCACCTTATAACAAAAGGGAAAAGTCATCATAGAAGGATAAAATTATTTGTGTATTTTCTATAGAAAAATAGAAGACCTCCCTGAACCTAAACATATAACTTGCTATGTGTGATTATGTCAAACACATCAGAAGCTGGCAAGCTACTTATTAAAATTGATAATTTCATTCAACAAATATCAACCAAGAGTTCAAGCTATCTACATCATGTCGTTAAGACATGATTCTATCCTATACCATCTTAACGCTGTGTTTGTTGTTCATTAACCTTCAAGCGGAGTTTAAGCTTCTTATTCTCAGTAGTCAACCCTACAGTGTCTCTCTACATCATGAGATAGAAATTGGTTTACTGTTCAGTTTTTTTTTTTTTTTTTAACTCCAAAGTACCAATTTTCATGACATTTCAGGACTTAGGAGTTGCATTTATTATCATTCCCAAAAAAACATTATATCCATTGGATTATATTAAGGGTTTCCCAATCCACGTGAAAGAGTACTCAATACTTATCACTTCTTGTTCCTCAAATAAAGACAAGAACCATTACTCACTTGCTATGCAGTAGCAACAAAGTAATGTTGCATTTTAGCCATCAGAGTCAACATCAAGAGAGTTAACATTACTGCAAATATATTTAGCCTTCAGAGTAAAAATCTAGAACATCGGGTAAGAATCATTCATGATGGAAAAAAAATTTAGGAATCTCATTTGGCTCAGAGCAAACATTTGGCATAAATGAGTAAAATCACTAACACAAGCCAAAACTTTGTGCTGACTGATAGTAGCACAAAATTTTCAATTATAGACACTAGCTTTCATAGCATCTAGTTTAATGTCAGATTATCAATTTGAACATGAAACAGAAGAAGGCAATTAATTAAAATACAAGTAAAGCTCGATTGAGAATATAATTCTGAAAGTTCACAAATCAGTAGAAATTTTTGTAGCTCAAAACAAAATCAGTGCCTCCATGTTATCTTTTTCATTTCTTAGAAATAGATCCCTTCAGCTAATAGATGAAATATAACTGAAAAATACCTTTCATTGCATCATTGTTACATGCATTCCTAATCGATCACCCAATGAAGGATAAAAGGGCTTCCTATCATGAGGCAGCATTGCAACGTAAAAATTTGGCCTTTACCGTTCAAGAATCCACACATTGTAAACCGACTATTTGTTACCAAAATTATTCGTTAAGAAAAATAACAACCAAAGTCCTTTCCACTGCAATTGAAAAAAATCGAACTAACAAACATAATTCCATTTACTAATAAAACTTGATAATTCCTCTCCATTACCTATACTTTCATTCAAACAATCTCACATTCAATACTTTACAACATCTAGAAATAGAACGGAAAATAAATAAAAGTGACAACAAAAACAATAAATTATAAATTCAGCTTGAAAATCAAATAAAGGGTAAAGCAGTGCAAGTAATCTGTCGGCGCCGGAATTAGAATCGTGGAGGAATGCAGTCCAATCTTAGGCCCTAATGCGGCCTTTGAACTGGAAGAGTGCTGCGATTCACTAGTGATATAAGAAAGAGAAGGTGAAGAAGTTTAACATTTTGGTTTGAAAGGAACTAACCACGACGATTGTAGATGTGATGAACTGAACGATGGCTCTCATTGCTAATATTTTTAATTAAAATGTCTGGTGCAAGAAGATGGGATGCGAACATGAAAGCTAACATTATATTAGCGAAGAGGCGTGAGTTTTCAGTAGAAAAAGAATCAAACCTTCTAGACTGTGATTGCAAACGATATAATACATGACAAAACCAAATTGCCAATGGCAACTGAAGAGCTTGAGTTGGCCTGAGAGGAGCTGAAGTGAGGTGGGGAAGAAATCGAGATTTGAGCAAGAGGCAAATGGGGTTCTACAATTCTGAGCAGTAAGTGATGGTAAATAAGTGATTGTAGATGAGTTCCAACAAATGTGGTTAGGGTCATATTTTGGGTGATTTTTAAAGAACCTGAATTTGAAATTTGAAATCTCGGGAAGGAAAGCTTATTAGGAAAGCATTGGCACATGCAAAAAGTCAGTTGGGAATGAATTGGTGGCAACTTTGATTGGTTAGTATGTGTCAGATTAATTATTATTACTTATTATTCATGGGGTGAAAATATTGAAAGATTGAAGTCATTTCGTGAGTCTGAACTCTGAAGAATGATGTGGCAACCACCGAATAACTCACCAATTACGGATTGAGATGTATGACACATATTATGCACAAATGGACCAATCAATGATTCGCCATGAGTTTTAGTATGTTATGCTTGATGTTGATATTGAGATGCATGACACACATATTATGCACAAACACATATTATGCACAGTCTCATAGTCATAGGTGATGGGTTAGGGTTGTGGATTTTGGGATGGGAACGTATTGGTAATTATTCACATAATAAATACAGTCATTCAATAAAATAAATATTCCCTCCCATAAAATATATAAATGCTTTCTAGAAAAATGATTTGGTTCAAAATATAAATAATTTAGAGAGTAATCATTACTTATTTATTAATTTTGTTTCTGCAATTAATGCTTAAATGCAATTTATTGTGTTTTTCCTCACTCATTTACAATCTTATTTAATGTTGGTAAAATTGGGGGAACTAGTTTCAGTGTTTATCACATTGATGAATATCCTAAACTTATCAGATTTTGATTATTAAAATCTCATTTGAATGGTTCAGATTTTAAATTTTTAATTAATTAAATCTAGATCATTTAAATGAAATCTCGACAGTTTAGATCTGATGAATTTAAAGTGCTCATCAAAGTGATGAGCACCATAAATGGTTCCAATCGGGGGGAAAATCAATTTGGATTACATTTAATGGGTTAACTGCTATTTTCTTGATAATAATAAATTAGTCAAAGTGAAGGTTAGAGGGAGTGCACCACTTTCATTTATGTACCAAACATATTTTAGAAGTTTTTTTCATTTTTTCCCCTTTTTTTGGTGATGAAGCCACTTCCACTGTTATTTCTGTTTTGATCAAAATCTCTTTTATACTATCAAAAAGAGGATATTATTATTCATCACATTCTTCAATTCATAAAAATCTCCCAATTTCACCACCTAAGGTTTAACTTCTAACATGCCTGTATCTAAAACTCCACTAGATTCATAGCTAGCTAGCCTATTAGAACTTCAATTAAGTAAAATGTCAAACATGACTATATTTAAACCTCCACCAAGTTCATAACTAGTCTATTAGAACTTCAACTTAACCTTAAGCAAAATGTCAATTTACTTAAAACATTCAAACCCTGACTTCAGCTAATCTTGAAAATGAATAACTATATTACATCAACACGTCAAATGTCAAACAGTATCTAGTTTCTAATATCTAATATCAAACTAATTAAAGTTTTTCATCTCCTTCACTCCCTTCCATTTTCCTCTAACCAAACCAAATGGAGGCAAAATGACTAATTGTCTCTGCGCAAATTGTTACTCTACCTCTCTCTAACCTTCCCATCCAGCAGCTTCAATCGGTCTTTATGGTACGTACTTTTCTTCCTTAAAACCTCCTAGTTGCCAAAATCCAAAATGCCAATAGCAGGTTAATGAATGAATTTTAAATTGGGTTTAGCATTATATCCCCACATACTCGTAGGAATAATCTCGGCATATTAAATGGAAAGCCTAAAATTAAATGCATGGACTCTAGAAGCTACTTAAGAAAGTTGAACAACTCTGATAACCTAAAAATTGTTTTGAAATAGCTAGCATCATCGTGATCATGAATCTCATAGTCATAATGAATCCTCTATCTTTCACCCGAGGATAATTGTCTTGAGGTGATGATGGATCGAAGTCATGACAGTTCTCTAGTTCTCCCTTTTTTTCAATTAAAAAAAGAGTGATGTATCCTACGCATGTTGGGAAAGGGTTCAAAGCCGTTGGTCTTAGGGGATTGCTTGCCAGTTGCCACTTTGATTGATTTAATCAAGGACGGAAGGTTCAAAATTTCAAGATTTTGTATGTGGTGGGCTCCATTATTTATCCTGTTTTAATTGGTATAATCTTCTACTACCTCCAGTTCATTACATAAGAATTAGTTAGGAAGTTAAATTTAGTTTTAAATACAAAATCTTAATCTACTCTATCTGTTATTTTTTTCCCCTTAAAATATCCATATTAATTGCAAGGGACTTTAGAATAATTCTAATTACCCAATACATATGATTAAAAATAATAGTTTAGGAAAATCATTAATTAATTTTCTTGATATTTCTAAATTCATTATCATCAATTCCATGCATCTGCGCATAAAGCAACCAGCACCAGAGGAGGCAATGAAACTCATCACTCGCAAACCTGCATGTGAATGGGAAAAACCCAAGCAGGAGGAAGAGATTGTCGGAAAAACCGAACCCAACCCAAGCTCTACCTTTCGCCATTGAATTGAGAACTAAGTTTCAGAAATGGACTTCTTTGGCCACCTAGTTACGAAGAACAGACCAAACCACGGAAAATGAAGTAAAAAGTAGCCTAGCAACAAACCTATACAGCACATACAGCACTGCCCATTTTCAATTTGTGCTCACAGGAACTTGCATTATTTCAGTGGCAAAAGACTCGGAGAACTCCAGATGTTACAAGTCATCACATTCATCAGGAAAGGTGCCTCAACCCGATCGAATGTCCTTCACAAGAATGGCAGCCACCTCTAGCACTTCGAATATAGAACCATCAGAAAGACTTCTTGAAGAGTTTGCAGGGCCACGATACGAAGCAAAATCATCATTATGCCGCATGGCCTCTTCACAGTAAGAGACGCAACTCTCATGAAGGTCGATGAATCTCTATTGTGAATGACCAAATGTTGATGAAGTGGCGCTGAATATAAGATCAGGATACACAGCACAAAATTACTCAATATGAGTATAAATTCTGGTCAAACTCAACGTTTCTCGAAATTAAAATTTATTTTGAGTTATTTTTATAAGCGCGTTGAATTACAAATTGAATTGTTTTGTTGCATCATTTAAACTTCCAAAATAGAAAAGAAGATTCATAGCATTGAGAGATGCTGCTTTTATTGACTAGTCATTATAAAAATAGTTTTTCTTTACTATATCTTCCTCGCTTTATTTCCACTTTACATAGTACATACGAGATTATTTGTTGAATTCAGAAGGTTTAGAATTTATATTTTATTTGCTGGCAAAAAGAAAAGAGCTAACAATTGTAATTATTTTTGTTTATAAAATACTATCTTCGGTTCTTAATATAAGAGCTAGTTGATTAATCTAAATAGATTAAGACAATTAGTTAAGTTAGTTAAGTTAGTTATTTGTATTAAATAAATATTGTTTTTCTTAAAATATCATTGCTAATCAAGTGTATTGGCCATAATTATCATTATTATAAGGATTATCTTAGAAAAAATAGATAAATATGAGAGATAATATAAAATGAGATTTTATACTTAGGATTAAAATTTAAATGAGTTCTTAATTAAGTACGTCAGCTGTTTTCTTCTTTTGAGTCAAGAAATACTGCTACTCCTCTAGTTCTATATATAAGACCCTTATACTAGAGTATATAAGAGTCTTATATTTATTACCAGAGGAGTATGAAATATGAATTACTACCTCCAATCCTAATTATAAGAGCTAGTTGACTAATTGGAGGAGATTAAAAAAATGAGTTAAGTTAATTATTTGTAATAAATATATATTATCTTTTTTAAAATATCATTACTAATCAAATGTATTAGTTAAAACTACAATGATTAGAAGGATTACCTTAAAAAGATATATAAATATTAAAAATAAAATAAATTATAATTTTAGAACTAAAATAAAAATTAAATTAGATTTTATATTAAGATCAGCAGGTAGTATTAACTTTTTTTTGGGCCGATAAAAAGAGAACCATTTCCAGCCATTATGGCGCGCGCACATATATACGGCTCCAACCGAAGAAATCGTAGCCTGTGTTTGTCTGTGGACTGGGGACTGCCTAGGGCCATTTTGTTTGGCTGGAGACGAAACAGAAACCTATAACCATTGGCAAGAGAGAAATCGAGGAAGGTAGACTATGGAAGTGCCTGGGTCGTCTAAGAAGATGATTGCGACGCAGGAGGAAATGGTGGAAGCTAGGGTTCCGCTGCCCTATAGAGATCAATGTGCCCACTTACTCATCCCCCTCAACAAGTGCAGACAGGCGGAGTTCTACCTCCCATGGAAGTGCGAGACCGAGCGACACGCATACGAGAAGTGCGAGTATGAGCTTGTCATGGAAAGAATGCTCCAGATGCAGAAGATCCGCGAGGAAGAGGCCAAGTTGAAACAAGCACAGAAGCAGGGCATTACCCTAATCCCCAAAACCGCTAATGTCTGATTCTACGCAGGTTTAGCCTTTTCTCCCTTTGATTCTTTTCCCCGTATTTTGTCGTCTTTATTGATCTCTTCTCTAATGCGTGTCATATGATCTCCAGTTTCTCGGTGGATTTGGCACCGCCTAGTTGTAGCATTTTCTTTGCTTCTTTATTAATCAATGCTCCAACGTTGAACTGTTATGTTTTCACCATGAATGATTACTATTAAGGGTGTTTTTGACGGTGCAACTCCTATTAAGATAACTAGTTTATGTAGGGCCTTGGGATTGATACAGATTTTTGCAACGAGTAGTGCTGTGGGACAGTAAAATTATGCGCATTTCAGTATTTGCGTCTGAGGTTTTTGTGCCTGGTGAAAATGAATTAGTTCTCTAGTGCTCGTCGTAGTTTCTTCCTTAATTTCTCCATCATGTATACCTGTTATTTCGGGAGATATAGACACGCTAGTAGGGAGCCAGTACTACAGTAAATTCTTTTTGTGGACTCTAGAAGGCATTTTGCGCAGTACTCTTGGAATACGGTAATTGAACTCTATCTTATCATACTGTACATTCTTTGGGATATTTTGATTCCCCTATGTGATGCTGCCACCTCTAAGGAAGCACCCTCTAATCTCCAAAGTCTTTTACTTCAAATGCTCATGCGCTTAGAGTCATCTGTGGTAATTACAATCACAATATCATCTGCATGCACTATCAACAAAGGCTCTTTTTACTTGTGTGACACGCTAATATTGTATGATTTGCTTAGCATTGAGTATGACCAAGCTACTTTGGCACTCCCCTATCGGCAGTTGCTTCAACCCATATAAGGACTTGAATAGCCTACAGACCCTTGGTATCTGTTCATTATTAACACTAGAACGATCCGTCTCCATTGAAGTTTTGAGTGGGCTTCCTGAAAGTTACTTGGTATCTGTTCATTAGTAACACTAGCAACAAATGTTTGAAGTTTTGGAGAGTGGAGACAACTTCTCATAAGAGACATCAGTATTGATAGGATGCTTTGTGCAGGATCCTACTCCCTTAGTGCAATAGGTCACTGTAACGCTTCAGGATTCAGAGTTGGAGTAGAATCTGTGTTTTTCTTAGGAATGTGAAGGACTTCCTCTGTATTATGTTGTCTTAATGCACTTCCTTTAAACTCCTTGGCACCAAGTTGATCCCTTCTTGTTTCCTGATTCTCCATTCTTTCCGGGTCATTTGAGGACTGGTCAAGTTTGTTTTTATTGAATCTCCAATGCATCGTTCCCTCATCAAATTTATTTATTATTGTGTTCTTTTATTGTTTTTATGCATGATTTATTTTCACTTATTTTTTGATACCCTAATTTGTTCTGTTACAGAGGTAGGCATGTTACCTCTAATTTTGTAAATTGGCCGCTGGTCAATAAAAAGAGGGGCTGAGAATAATTAAGCCTCAGTGAGCACAGTTCAGGTTTGTTGGGGTTAGTTGCAGGTGTGATTTGGCTGTTTTCAATGGGTGCAGGGTCTGATCTGGGTGTTCACTGTTGTTTGGGCTAACTTCATGTCTGGTTTCATCATTTTCAGCTTGTACGGCAGTATTTCTAGTGGTTGTAGGTGCTTGAATGACATGTACTGCAATACTGGACTGTTTGGATTTGTTTCAGGTATTTGGGTCCTGAAGATTGGCCATTCTCTCGTGGTCTCTCCTAAATGGTATTTCAGGGTAGAAAGATTGGTCTTCAAAGATGTAAAATTCATGTTGACAAAATATTTGTCGAGAAGGCTGAGTATCACTTTTAGGTTGGTGAGTATCCTAGGAAAATGCATTTGTGGCTCCGTGTCTCAAGTTTGTTCCCATTTTTGTGACAAACAAAGGCTATGCACCCAAAGACTTTTTGAGGCATGGTAGTGGCCATAGGGGTGCTGGGTAGGCACTCAAGAAGTTTGTTTAAGGGTGTTTTAAAGCTTGAGAATTTTGGATGGTATTCTTTTGGTAAAATACATTCTGAGTTAAAGAACACCATCTTCAAATTGATGAGGTACTTTATGAAATAGCTTGAATGTCTATTCTTTCTTTTAGCAATGCCATTTTGCTGAGGTGTGTTGACATATAAAGTTTGATGAACGATGCCATGATGATCAAGGCACCAATTCAAGGTAGAGCTCATATTCTCTATTGCATTATCTCTCCTTAGGATTTGGAGTGATTCTTGGTTTTGATCAACAATCAAGTTGTGGAAGTTGGTGAATATACTGAACACTTGATTTTTCCTTTGTAGAAAAACACCTGGGCCTACCTAGTCTGATCATCAATGAAGGTAACAGACCACCTAGTTTTGAAAGTGCTCCAACTTTTTATGGCTCCTGTATGTCATTGTAAGTAAGAACAAATGGTTGCGTCGGTTTGTGAGCACGTTAGACATAGGAATTTTTTACATGTTTGGATAGTTGGCACGCATCACATTGGAAAGAAGAGTCGCTATTATTAGGAAACTCATGAAACAATTTTTCCATATAGCTCAAACTAGGCTAGTCTAATCTGTAGTACCAGTATTGCATCATTATTGTTGAGAATTGAATGAAAAACAACTTTAGCACCAGCCTTGCTCTTTTCTTCTTACAATCCTTCAAGATGATATAACTCTTCCCATTCCTTAGCATTGCTAATCATCTTCCTTCACCCCAGATCCTGCAAAGCAGAACCATTTGATGAGAAGTGAACGCTAGACATTTAAACAATGTGCTTACTGACGTCAAATTACATTTTAACCTAGGCACATGTAGAACTTCCGTCAATATTAAATTATTTGAAATATATGCACTGCCCATGCCATCAATCTTAGTATGGTACCCATTGGTAACAATACTATTTTCCTCATGATAGGGCCGTAGTTCTTAAGAAGAGATGATTAATTGTCATGTGATTAGTTGCTCCCGAGTCCAGCATCTTTGGGTTTTTGTGATTGAGGGCAGTGATGGAGTTCTTTCATTGGCTAAATTCCCACTAAGGGTAGCCTTCTTTTTTTGTGTGATGTATTGATCATATTTCTCGAATCCTTTTCTTCTCTGTTGAATGATTGAACATAAGGTAGTTGAGAAGCCTTCTGTTTCTTGTTTTGGCCTTCCCTATGTTTTAGAGGGTTTTCCAAGAAACGTCCTACACGTTTCTTGTATGACCAGATTTGTTGCAATGGCCACACAACTTGGAAGCCTTTTTACCTTTTTGGTCGGATGTTTGTCCTTTTAGCTGTGAGAGCCGACACTTCAAAGTTAGATGTCCCTTGGACTAGTTGCTTCCCATGCTCTTCCCCCTTGACCAGGTCCAAGGCCTCCTTGTGTGAGGTAAGAGGTAATGTTCCAATTATTCATCCCCTATCATCTCCATAGGTTGCGTGCTTGTCTGGGAAACGCGTTTGGGGGGCTAAAATCCATGGTTTTGAACCCCAAACCCCATTTTGTTAAAAGCAATACCAAACAGCACAAGTTTCAAAACCTCAGGAACTTGAAAACCGATCAACACAATTTTTTCCCTAAATCATGCAGAGCCCAAAACCATGGCTAGGAAATGAGCAACATGTAAGCTGCTTTTGATTTTGGTCAACCTCAGTTTTGTCTAAAGGCTAGATTAGAGTCAATTGTAGCCAAACTCTACTTTTGGCCATGAAATTAAACACACCCTGCGTTCAAGTCAAGTAAGAACTCATGAGTTCTCAACCTTTCGGCTATCTTCTTGTCGTGGAGAAAATCTGCATGACAGGACCACAGATGAGTGTCAAAGGGGTCAATTTGCTGCCCCATATTAACCCCAGAGCTATGGTATTGCATGACACTCTTCTTTCCTTGCACAAGTATATGCAATGTCCCTTTAAGTTGGGAAAGAGTTGCTGTGTTACTTAGTATTGAATAAATCCTTGCATTATGCCATACCTCCTTGGATGTAGTATCGAGGAGATATCTCACCTATATTGTCATGGAGCTGCAAAGCCGTGCCTTTATTATATTGTTTTCAGCAATCTAGGTCCTGCGTAAGGAGGGATTTCTAGCATGGTTTGTTTTTGACCCTAGTCCAAACTTTGTGGAGAAGAAAGCCCAGGTTTTAACTTATAATTTTCACCTTCAGGATAAGGTGAGTCTTATAGGGCAGGGTTATGATGGATCGAACGCTTTTATGTTTCTTGGTCATTTTCTCCGTAGAATCTTGTTAGATGTTATACTCTTTCAGGTTTTATTGTCAGTTGTAATGTCGTTTTGAATTTGAGGATGAGTTCCATCAATTTGCCTCCTTTTTATATGCCATACAAATGAGTCGGTTCCCATTTTCTGCAACTCTTCCAGTAGAAGGTGTAGCCTGTGCAGGTTTCAATTTCCCCTTGTTGGCCTTGTATGGGTTCAATTCAATCTTCTCGGTGCCAAATTTTCTTTTTCTTCTAGTTTCAGGTTCTTACAGTTCCTAATGCCTTTTCATCGACTCTACTTTTGACAGGAACCTTTGCATGGATCAGATGTTGCTTTCATGTTTTCCTCTCCGTTGGTGCAAGTTATTGGAAATATTTGCGCAGAGACATTTGCAGTCTGCTTACGAGTTATGATGTTTGTTGTCATTTTCTGTGGTGGAACTTTATTCCAAAAATTTTCTTTTCTGCCTGAAATATGTTCCAACATAAATGCATATTGTTTATGATGTTGTGTCCTTTTCTCTTTTTGGAACCTTTCTACAGGGAGGGATAATAATAATTGTTGGTCAACACTTAACAATGGCTGAGAAATACTACTTGCAAGGGTTGCGGACTTTTGTTAACTTGCGTATTTATAGATGTCAAATGGATGACCCATTGACTCGGTGTCTAACTCGTCATGTTGCTCGAAGCAATGTAAAGAGCCAACTGCACTTTTAATCGTCGGTTTTATTGAGAAAGCAGTTTAAATCCTATGCTTAATTATAGAGTCCTTATTGATTGGTGTTTACTTTTGGTTTCAATAAATCATATCAACACTTATATTGAGGGAAAAAGGTGATTAGATACAAGTTAAATTCTGCTGGTAATTTGGCAAACTTTCAACGCTGTCTAGCTAATTGTTCTATTTTGAGAGTAAAAGACAGGCCTAAGCTTGGGAGAGAACTAAAAACATATTGGAAACAGCAAAAGAAACCAAAGCCAAGCAGCAAGATCCTAGCGGCTGTTACGCTGGGCATCTAGCACCTAATAATTCCTCGGTTAATAGTGAGATAATATCTTCTAACGCAGTACCAGTACAGTTTTTCCCTTTTGGGGTTGGCGCTGGCGCCGGGAGTCACCGAATGGTTGAAGTCAACTGTTATAGTTGAAATCAAGAGTGATTATTGTGGCAACGGAGAAATCGTTGTGTGGTTGAACAAGAAATTTGAAAGGCCTGGTAATCCTATGAAGGCAATGGACAAGCACATATAAGAGTTAAGGGAGACGATTGACGGGGTGGAGAAAGGTGGGGTGGGGGAAGTCTGTATTCAAGTGAAATGGGAAAAAGCAGATGGAGGGTGTCAAAGCTGAATTTTTTTTGGCTAAAACATAGGTATCCTCCTATTGGAGGCAATCATATTCGAGATACTGTCGAATACTAAATGTGGACACCTCTCTGAACAGGAATTCGAATATTGGTTTGTCACGTTATGAGGGATTAGTCCCTTCCGCTAGACCCAACCCTCGTTAGTGTCAAAGTTGAATATTGATGGGGCAATACGTAGCAGTAATAATGGGATGTGGTGGTGTGGTTAGGGACCATGGGGAAAGATAGATGGGAGGTTTTTCTGAAAGACTGGGAAGGTAGTTACTGAATCTGATTCGATTATGATTATTCGAAAATTGGATGAAATGTTGCAAAGCGGTAAGGAAACTAGTAGGTTCATGGGAAGACTAACTACTTTGTTGGAAGCAGGATGGGAAGTGAGAACGAGCCATACTTTTTTAGAAAGGGAAATGGAGTTGCAAATTGGTTGGCTAAATGGGGCTTCTTCAAACCAATGAGAAGGGATTGCTGACAGATCTGCTGGATGGGGTTGGCATTTTGCTTGATAAGAGTTGCATGGGTTTTCTTGATGTCAGAACTATCTTGAGTTAGATTTGTGTTGAGCTATCTAGTCTTTTTTGTTATCATAAAAAAGAGGGATTATTAATTTATTATATTGGGACTGTTGTACCCTTAGTGTTTTCTTCTACACTTCTACTTTTGGGCCTTGGTCCCTTCTTTGTACTAAAAACAAAAACTCTATTATACTTCTCCAAGAGATGAATGTTTTCATTGTTCCTAGGTTTTGTGGTCTTGAGCCATGTACATAAAAATTATTTTCAAGTATATTTTGGTTCAAGAACCGATAGTAGTGAAAGAAAAATGTCCATGCTGGTGAAAAAAAAGAAAGAAAGAAAAAATAGTCCATACCAACTTGAGTATTGAGAACATGAAAATATTAAGACCCCATTCACCTAAAGTTTTTATAATAAAAAAACATTAAATCTGGTTAATTTCACTAAAAATTTATGTGCATAGCAGCGTATAATTACAAAAATGAAATGAAAAAAAGTGGTCCACCCTGTTCAAGAGGCACCAACTGCTATACCATGCCATAGGATTAGCCTCCTGAATTTATAGGACTAATTGATACCATTGTTCAAAAAGTTTATTAGAAACATCTGTATATAAATAGATGTCTTCTCTATTCAATGTAACTGTCTTTACGTCCTTTGAGCATACAATTTTTTTTTTTTTAAAAATTATACAAGTCCATACATTTTTCAATTAGATGTTTTAAAACTCTGGCTCTTTTCAATTAAGTGGGATTAGAGTTTGGATAGTCCATAGATCATAACCTGTCGTTCCTCTTCTTTGTACTAGAATTTCCATCCTTATTACACAAACAATCTCGAGATAAACAGAAATGCTAAGGGGATGAGAGCCGTGGACAGAATTAAGTGTGCTAAGAGGGCTAATCAGCATCGCTTTAAAAGTAAAATAATAACTTCAATTGAAATCCAAATGCTTATCATAATGATCTCTTTAACAACAAAAATTAGTCTGATGAGTGAAAAGATGTGGGCTCAAATCTCACATAGACATGCACTAAGGTCACTTATGGGTGGTGATCCAGGCCCATCTGCTGATTGCGGGTGATGAGTTAGATATGAGTCAAGTTAGAAAATGTTATTTGAAGGCAGGCTAACTTTCAACCACCTCTAATATTCCAAGATGGGTTGGCTTACCAAACCGTCAATAATTATTTATTTATTTCTTTAAATTTTTTTCATCTTTTAATATGTTTTTCTTATTCAATATCCAAAAAAAATAAAAACAAGATATATGTTTTTTGTTGTTGAAATATTTGATAGAAAACACCAAATAAATTATATCAGTATTTTTTAAATTTTTTAGATAAATATTATATATAACAATACAACTATAGTAATTACTAAAAATTTTAAAAATAAAAAAATAAATGAGAGTCAACCTGATGGTATAAGTTAAAAAGATTCGTTTACTAACGGGTTAACTTTCAACCACTCCTATCCCGTGATTTTTGATGTTAGCGGATTAAACCAACAAGTTCAACTTATATTATCAGCTCTATCTATATCGCGTTGGCTGTTGGATTAGGGAAAATCAGCTAAAGGGGTAGAAGATCTAAATGGGGAAAGGCTTCCTCTCCATTGGGTAACGTATTTGGCTGCATGTGGTAGATAGAATACGGTACGCTGAGAATAGATGTTCTTTTGGACATTGGAGAGGAAAGGCATGATCCAGCGTGGGAAAGGTAAAAGGACCAAATTGCCGTACACATGAAACAGCCAACTAAATGACCTGATCCTTTATATTCTATTAATAATGATTAAACTCTTCTACAGGCGAGAAACAGATTTTAGATTTCTATGCAAGGACAATGATAACGGCAGATGCACTGGCACATAATTAGACCTGGTACCAAAGAAAGTCACGGCTCATAACCAGATAACATCAAAACTTCCAACCAAATGATTTTCCTAACTACTTGCATTTCAGTTTGCCATGGTTGTGAGCGGGCGGAAAAGCATTGACCGCTTTTGAGTCATCAACAGCTAAGTTAGTACAGTTTCGACAGTTACAAAGCTCTGGAAATAAAGGGAAAGGTTTAAAAGAATAGATTCAACAAACTAGCCAAAACTTTTTTTCCGGTTGTCCCCTCCTAACTAATTATCACCAATTTATGACAACAAAGAAACTACCTTGGGTTTTTATTTCTTCTACTCTTCATAATAGAGGGAAAATGAGATGCAGGGTTGAGGGATTTGAGCACAAATAAACAAGACGATACCTTACTGACTGGACAAACTTGTGCAAAGCACAAAAAAATTTGCCAGGTTAACACTAGCTCTTCTTTAATAAACATATTATATTATAATGCCTAACTCGACTTTGCCTGGAATGGCAATTCCTTAGACAGGTATAAACAAAACTTACTTTCCTTTGAAACTATATCTGACAAACCTATCTTCAGCAGCTAGTCAACATGCGGACAGAAGGATTGCTGGTCAAACATGTACCTTTCCGTACTTGAGTGTTTCAATATCCACATTGATGTATGAGACAGGTGAGATAAAGAATCTAATCTTCTACTCTTCTTGAACATTTTCTTCTGGAAACCCATGATAATGGAAAGAATCAAGGCTGCAGAGGAATTTAATCCCAACAAGAACCATTAAAGCAAGATAAAAGAAAATAAAATAAAGAGGTAAGAGAATGTTAGAAAAGGAAAATAAAGAGCTCAAGTATATTGCCAACCTGCACTTGTGTGGAACCCTCCACGAGATAACTGACAACCTCTTCAAACTTGGAGGCAGGGACAAATAATGTTTCCAATCCTGAAGCATAATTCGAAGATCATGAAGCTTGCTAACCATACCAAAGCAGCAATTGGCATGCATTGTACAAACTTCATTTAAATCTTTGCTCGGTTCACAAAGTCCACCAAAATTGCTTGTATCCAAGAATCTAATCTTCAGTCCTAGATCAGTGATGAAAGGATGAACCTTGATAAAATTTAGGACATCCTGATCATGGTATCCAGGATAGGTTTCCCGTGAAGAGTACCAGAATTTATAAAACTCTATTGACCTATTATTGGATTTTACAAAGTTGAACCCTCCATTGGGTCTGTTATTTACATCATCAGAGCTACCTGTGTAATGATCACACGCAATCTGAAAATCTGCATCTAGATGGAAACGTGGAAATGGGTCTCTGAGCCACATGATATCAGCATCCTGAAGGAGAAACAAAACTAAGTATTTAATTGAAGATGCCTTATATGTGTGTCTACCTTCACATGTAAGTTTGTTTTAGTCTCCCATATCTTCTCTTACTTGTAACTTTATCTTTGTTCCAGATAAACAGATACACTCCTAACAGTAGAAATAAAACACTGATGGTTGAAAATGTGAGTTACAAAACTACGAGAATTACACGGTTGTATGATGGAGCAAAATGGCAAAAATGAAGGGAAAAAGGTCCTCATGGTTTCAGATGTTATTCCTAATAAGATGTCCCCCTTGAAAGCTTAATTGATAACTCATTGATAGGACAGGACAAAAACATAAGCAGCTTATTCCCTCACTCACATAACAGACAAATTCTCAGTGTCAGGAAAATAGTCCAGAACTCAATAAACTTTGTTGCCTCAGGCTTTCAAATATGTTTCTCAGTGTCACAGCAGGACATACAAAATCTGCTCATTGACAACTTGAAGAGGGAGGTATATGAAGAACTTACAGTGAACACAAAACTGTATCCCATCTCAAGAACAGAACGTAGGAAATCAATTCTTCTCCACATCATGTCTAAGTAGCGAGGAGTCATAAAGTATGCTTCTTCATGAAAATCAGCTCCTTCACTAACAAGAGAGTAGCAATACGTATGTATAGCCTGACAGCGTACAAATGCCTTGTGATCCAATGCAATAATCACTAAATGGTTCAAAAGCCAACGGGTGTGATCACCAATTCTAAAGCTCTCAAGGAAAAGATCAATTACTGAATTTTGTGCTGCCCATGCTTCGTTTAAAGTGGTCAAGATGACAGTTTTGTCTTCCATAGCAGCCTCATTCAAAATCTTTTCAAGTGGATATTCATTGGTAACCTGAAGAATATGCCAATTAAGAAAAAAAAATAAAAAACAAAAAGGTTCCCTCTTTTAGAGACATTGCACAAATGAAGCACGAGATAAAATCAATAATCCTTTAAAGTGGTACAGGAATGAAGAATCATGTCAATGGTAGTAATTGCACTGTTGCAGTGAACAAATTACTAATTATTTTCCATTCAGGCCAATCATTTCATATTTATAGATACTCAAAATAACCTTCAAAAGCCAAGTTATTAGCTTGCGTGTATCTTACAACAATTAGGAGGGAGAACACATGATACCTAGACTTCCTCAAAGTTTTCTGAGCGAGAAAGAATTACTTTAGAAAATGTAGCTGGTATGGCTTACATCAGAAGATGTAGCTGATCTCAGTATGCAGTAAAAACCTATGGCACATCCATATTTGTTTGTCAAGCACATTATAGCTATTTTAAATATTGTTATAGAGCTTCCTTCCTTGTTTGACTCCTCAACAAGCAAGCAACACAAAGAAACACCAAAATACCAAACAAGAAGCTTCCCTCTAACTCTCACCAATCATGAACCGAAAGGATGGGAGGGGACCATGGCCGCATAGCGTATTTAAGACTTTATATTTCGTGCCTGCTTGGGAGCCACGTGAATAATCAATTACGTACGTAAATCTTGGTTTCAGCAATTTCCACCCAACCATATCATCTTACGATTATGTTTTGGAAAGAGTTTATTAATATCAGCTCATGATTATGAATGGTGGCTGGAGGCAATAATGAATTTCGTGCCTGTTTGGGAGCCAAGTGAATAATCAATTAAGCACATAAATCTTGGTTTCAGCAATTTCCACCCAAGCATATCATCTTATGATTATGTTTCGGAAAGAAATTATTAATATCAGCTTATGTTATGAATTGTGGCCGCTGGAGGCAATAATGGCTGTTGGACATGCTGCATGTACCAAAATAACCTACAAAAAACAGTGACATTGGCAGTTCATTTAAATATTACATTACCTCGTATCTTTTTTTTTTCTTTTTTAAAGTATTTTACAAATTAAAAAGTGATGCTGATAACATTCATCTAAACATTTTCAATTTTTTGAAAACACCATCCAAACATTATCTTCATTGATCTCCTGATTCTAATGAAACATCGCATAACACTCAAATGCTATCACAATATAAGAAATGATCCAAATCATGAACGTCCGTTCATCTTGCTTCCCTGTAAGCAATCCTTACTCTCACCATTGTCATCGGAATATTGAAGCAGCTATGTCATTTCCAAACACAAACAGAAAACAGAAAACAGAAAACAGAAAACAGAGAACATCACCGAATACCGTAATTAACAACTTGTTTTAGAATTACAAAAATTAAGCTCTGTTTGGGAATTTAGGCAAACGAATTATCAGGCAAACAAAGCTGATCATGCAAATTTAGCAAAAAAGTATGTGATTTTCACGGCTTTCAAGTGGGACAGAACGAGTTTAACCACTAGAACATAAGCTAAACTTTCAAGCCCCTCATTCTGAAAACGAAACAGAACAATTCAATACAGCCTCTAAATCAGAATTTTCAGAATAAACCCGAAATGCCAAAAGAAATTATAGTGAAAAATGCAATCAAACGGGGATCAAAACACCAGCTGACGCAGCTACATTCACGGTAATAAAAACAAAAGATAAAATCCCCAGGAATTCAAAAGAAGAAAAGCAGGAAGCCATCGAACTCACAGCATAGGAATCATAAGCCGACGGGATAATGCTCGGAAAGGCGGAAAAATAATAAGAGGAGGGGAAGCGAGAGAGGAATCGGGATGAATCGACATCCCTGAGAAGGACCAAGCAAGAGAGAGAAACAGTGGCAAAGAATAACGAGACGGTGATGGTCCGCCGGAGGATGACCGACTCCGGCAGCATATCGGCAGCAGAATTAACGGCGGAACTGCGAGCCGGCGTCGTTGGAGATCGTCTCCCGCGAGACGCGGCACGGTGTGCTGGGGACATGGGGCTTGCGGGATGAAAAAGTCATTTTACGGGGCTTAACCCCTCGTCCTTGGTCGATTGGCGGCTTAACAGCAGGAACAAACAAACGTGATGAGCACAAGAGGGTCAGATTTAGTGGGGGAGGATGAGTGGGGAAGAGCTCCAAATTCAAGGTCGATCAGTGATGAAAGAAAACACAGCCCATTAACCCAATAGGCCCAACAAGCAGCTAGTATAAAATAAATCAGGCAAAAAACAAAAGAAAAGCGAGCACAAAATAAAACTTTTACACCTACATTTTTATTTAAATATTAATTTATTATTCATATTTAATAAACTGAGACGAAATCAATGTCTGTAATTCTCTGGACTTCAAACAACACAGGACGGTTTGATAATAGTAAAAATAATGCAACAAATCCAAAAGCAAAAGCAACAGGTTCCTAAGGTTACAATTTTCACAATAATGATTCTCGTGAACTTCTTATCCATTAAGTATAACCAAATCATTAGAACGATTTAAGGTTTAGGGTTCTGGAATTCTAGAGTTTCAAGGGCTTAAAACTTAGGGTTTTGAGGCTTTGGGAGCTTGGGATGTAGGAGTCTGCAGTTCTGGACTTGAGGCTAAGGAATTCAGGGTTCAAGGATCAAACTTTGGGCCTCCGGGCTTGAGGCATCGAGTTTAGGGTTTTATGGGCTTAAGGTTTGGGGTTTGGGATTTTAATGTTTCAAGGGTCTCGGGTCCGGGGGTTAGGGGTTTCGGGCTTGGAGCCTGGGACTAGGGCTTTAGGGTTTAGGGTTTAGGGTTTAGGGTTCAGGGTTTCGGGGTTTAGGGTTTCGGGGTTTAGGGTTTTTCGGGTTTCGGGGTTTCGGGTTCGGGGTTTCTGGTTCGGGGTTTCTGGTTCGGGGTTAGGGTTTAGGGTTTAGGGTTTAGGGTTCAGGGTTCAGGGTTCAGGGTTCAGGGTTCAGGGTTCAGGGTTCAGGGTTCAGGGTACAGGGTTCAGGGTTCAGGGTCTAGGGTTCAGGGTCTAGGGTTCAGGGTTCAGGGTTCAGGGTTCAGGGTTCAGGGTTCAGGGTTCAGGGTTCAGGGTTGAGGGTTGAGGGTTGAGGGTTCAGGGTTGAGGGTTCAGGGTTCAGGGTTCAGGGTTCAGGGTTCAGGGTTCAGGGTTCAGGGTTCAGGGTTCAGGGTTCAGGGTTCAGGGTTCAGGGTTCAGGGTTCAGGGTTCAGGGTTCAGGGTTCAGGGTTCAGGGTTCAGGGTTCAGGGTTCAGGGTTCAGGGTTCAGGGTTCAGGGTTCAGGGTTCAGGGTTCAGGGTTCAGGGTTCAGGGTTCAGGGTTCAGGGTTCAGGGTTCAGGGTTCAGGGTTCAGGGTTCAGGGTTCAGGGTTCAGGGTTCAGGGTTCAGGGTTCAGGGTTCAGGGTTCAGGGTTCAGGGTTCAGGGTTCAGGGTTCAGGGTTCAGGGTTCAGGGTTCAGGGTTCAGGGTTCAGGGTTCAGGGTTCAGGGTTCAGGGTTCAGGGTTCAGGGTTCAGGGTTCAGGGTTCAGGGTT